GAGAGAGAGAGGGAGAGAAAGAAAGAAAAGAAAGAAAGAAAGAAAGAAAGAAAGAAAGAAAGAAAAGAAAGAAAGGAGGAAAGGACATAGGGGAGGCTGAGGCAGGAGGATCACTGTGAGTTTGAGGTCAGCCTGGGCTACATAGTGAAATCCCGTCTCAAAAAACCAAAAAAAAAAAAAAAAAAAAAAAAATCCCAAATAAAACAAATAAAAAAAGAGGAAGAAGAGGTAAACAAACCACATTAAAATATGCTTATGCTATCAATTTTCTTTTACAAAACAAAGGACACACACAGATACATACAAAAAAGAGTGGAGAGTAATCACCAACATTTTTACAGCCATTCTCTCTAGGGAAGAGCATGCATGATTATAATTTTCTTTTTTGTTTTTGAGTACTTTACACATTTTGGTACAATGAATGTGTATTTGGCCTTTTTGTGCAGTCATTCTATTATGACATGCAGTAAAATTCACACTTTGTGATGTACAGTTTTGAGTTCTGTAGGGAGCTGTGAAACAGCCACCACAACCAGATGCAGAATGAGGCTCTCACTCCTGAAACTCCCAGAGACGCTGCCGGGAGGTGAACAGTGCCTCCACGCCCAGCCCAGCCCAGCGACTCTCATCTGCTCTGTATCCTCACAGGTTTGCCTTTTCCAGAATGTCACATAAATCAGATTGTACAACAGTGTATATTGTATGTAGCTTTGTGAGGTCTGCCTTCTTTCACTTACCAAAAATGCTTTCTTCTGTATTAACCAGATATATATAGTTGTTTATGTTTGTTTGTTTTGGTTTTGGTTTTTTGAGACAGGATTTCATTATGTAGTTCAAGATGGCCTTGAATTCACTATATGTAGTCCAGGCTGGCCTCTAACTCGAGGAGATCCTCCTACCTCAGCTTCATGAGGGCTAGGATTACAGGTTGTGCTACCATGCCTGGCTTTCAACTTTTTAATTTTTAAAAATTAAAAAAAAATTCTACTCAGAAAAACTCAACAAACAAAAATAACAGAAAATAAACCTTTAATTAAGAACTGCTTCTTAGTATGTCTAAAATGTACCAATAAATGTTTTGCTATAAAAAAAAGAATTGCTTTCTCGAGCTCGGCATGGTGGCTCACACCTGTAATCCAGCACTCTGAAGGCTGAGGCAGGAGGATCATCAAAGCAAAATTCAAGGCCAGCTTGGGCAACAGCCAGACTTTGTCTCAATTAAAAAAAAAAAAAAGCTATCTTTTTCTAGAGTTTCCATTTCTTGGGTGAATCTGAAGATCCCTCACAGCTTTAGGGAAATCCAGTAAAAATGCAGCTCTTCTCACTAACAGTAGAGAATGGCTTTCAAAAAAATTCTCTGTAATGTCTTTGACCATTCTTTTGAGAGCAACAAGTAATAAGGCAGTGAGCAGAAGGCCTAGCTGGAATCTCCTGTGCTACATCTCCCCTCCATTTGGACACCTGCCCTATGCCGAGATAATGTATGGATTATCAGATAAAAGTAGCTCAACTGTGTTGTTACAGCAGCCAATACTAAGCTGTAGGGTCCACACTGAAAGAAATTCTACCTATCGTTCCTAATCAGTGAACCTTTGATCTTAATTTTGTTGCTTTTTAACAACCTACTGGCCTGAGAGGTCGCTGGAAAATAAAGGAGCATCTTAAGTCACTTTTGCAGAACCCTGGTGTGTCTGGTCTCTCAGTCCAGTAACAAAAGTCAAAGATAGCAGCCACTAGGATTCCAAGAAGAAGGGAATAGTGTTAATTTACCCTCCTGGCCACCAACTTGGATTGGATCTAATTATTTCACCTCTTCTACTAAAATATAAATTATATGAGGGTAGCCACATCCCATTTATCTATTTCTTTTTACCACATACAAAATGTTGGCCATGGCCGGGGATTTAGCTCAGTGGTTCCACCGCCTGCCTTGGAAGCGCAAGGTCCAAGTTCGATCCCCAGGACCCAAAAAAAAAAAAAAAAATGTTGGCCAAATGAATGAATGAGAAGAAACAGAAGGAGTGAAAAAATGCCATCTTCCATCCTCCCCTCATTCTATATGGTGCATAGCATGGGGCCTCTCTCCTGGACATCTCCTGGAATTGTAGGTGGGTCTTGCCTGCCTACAGGACAGGGTCCTGGGAAGACAGGATGTACAACTGGAGATCTCCCGCAAGCAAAAGGAGAGCCAGTTAATCACAAATTGCACTGAGCGAAGGATATTCAGGTGCCTGTACTGCTCAGGTGCCTGTACATGGAGTGGGGGAGAACGAACAAACAGAAGTCTATAGATAATTTCAAATCTCATAAGCCAGGCATAGTGGCCCTTGCTTAGGTACAAATAGTGACGAAAAAAATCACCAAAAGAAAGAGGTCAGGGCCAGACATTTAGCTCAGTGGCACCGTGCCTGCCTTGCAAGCACAAGGTCCTGAGTTCAAACGCCGGTACAAAAAAAAAATAAAGAAAGAAGTCAAAAAGCCCTCCAAGATGATATAAAATAATCCACACCTGAATCACGATCACCCGGTATCCTGACAAATGTCCCCGGATTTACCATAGAACATCCTCTCATCATTTATTGTACAGCCTTAAATGAAATCTTTGGCACTGGGGAGCAAGCTGCTTCTGGGGAAAAAAAAAAAAATCTTCCAGGACTAAAAAGTCTATTTAGGGGCTTATTAGGGGATTTAGCTCAGTGGTTTCGCCTGCCTCGAAAGCACGAGGTTCCGAGTTCGATCCCCGGTACTCACCGCCACCCCCCCAAAAAAGTCATTTAGACTTTTCTTCCTGTACTCCAATAACAAAATTAAAAGAACCACTCATTCCAGCTCCTCCTAACTCACTCTTTCTCTCAAGTGCACAAACACACACACACACACACACAGCCTTTTCGCCCTGCTGTGCTACAGGGTGGGGGTGGGACGGTGCATAATACGATATAGCAAAATACTCCAAGTTCCTCCGCCTCCAGGGATCAGCACTAAGGAACTTGGTTGTCAAGTATGTAATATGAACCATCAATATTATCTTGTGGTTTAAAGGCATCTACAACTGGACTGTAGGAAACAATCCAGGGCACTTTTCCCCACCCCTTTTCAGAAATGCTTTCTGTGAGAAAGAAGGAGGTGGGGCAAGGGCAAGGGAAAGAGAAACATACAAGGAGGCAGAAATGGAGAACAAGTCATTCCTTGCAGAAGAGTCAGTTACACACACACACACACACACACACACATTCTCATTAACGATAGTTTAAATATAAATCTGAGAGCTTGAGAACTTATAAATAGTACTATAATTCTGTATAATCCACATTATATTATAGAATAGAAACTTTATTCCAAATAGAATTATTACCCAAAACCAAAAAACAATAATATAACTATTTCCTGCCAAGAAACATGATCCTGTATATCTAAAACAGTATAAACAACTGTCACCCTGAAATAACCATGAAGTTCAAATATAAATCTTTGGGGTAAAAGGCACAACTGTAGTTACCTTATAAAGTTGTCTTCCTCAGTTTGGAGAGAATTTGGAAGAAAGTTCAGCTAAGCACAAAACCACAGTTTATATTCATTTCTCTTATTTTCAAAGGGTATGTCTAATAAATGATTTTAATTCACCATGTGCAGTACTGTAAGCCTCACACACATATACCTTATATTCTACAATTTATTTGATGATAAATATATTACTCATTTATGGAAGACTTGGTATATTTTTAAAGTATCAGATATAATTGAAAAAAACTGTTTATCCTCACATACCCAGAATCCCCCTTCCAGAAAGATCTTTGGAATAGTTAAGCCCACTTATTTCTTTAAAGTAGCAGAAGGAAGCTATCTTGCTTCACATGAATCATAAAAGAGTCTAAAGAGTTACAAAATAAACCAAAGCTTTTCTCCTCAAAATGTAACCAGAAAATGAGACCGGCAAACATGTGCTATATTAGTTTAGCCACACAGAAGAATGAATCCTGCTCTTCTATAGCTCAAGTCACTAAAGCAGGGAGAAAACAATGGGTTCTGTTAACTCAGTTTCACAGCACAGTGGTGAGTGGCCACAGGATGCACAGCAATATTCTGTTGACTGAGTGGACACATGAACATATGGCAGTTTCACAGCGCACTCAAACAGAGCCCATATACAAACATTTTCCTGTCTCACTCTCCCTTCACTGTTTTCTCTTTTTTTTTTCATTCTCTGTGGTAAGCCAAAGATGGCTGCAGACTGTTGTTGCTTCCATGAAACATCTCCTCTGCTATCTGCTGCTGTATTGTGACAGCACTGACGAAGAAAGCATGGCAAAAGTGACTCCATGATGGTTTCCAGACCAGCCCCCTAAGAGACTGGTAGCTTCATGTCCTTTTCAGAGTTTTCTCTTGGAGAGTCAAGCTGCTATGTGTAAGTCCCGCTTCTCTGAGACTGTCATGCCATTGATGCCACATGTGGACATCCAGGCCTTCATCTAATCTAAGCCCAGTCTTCCAGTAACTCTTGCCATGGTGCCACACACTTAGTGAAAGGTATCTTGGAGCTTCCCTACCAGCCCATACACCTTCACTACCACTAAGGGACCTCAGTCAATGTCACGAAGAGCAGGACAACCCAACTGGTCTCTTTCCAAATTCCTGAGCCACAGAATAGTATGACATTATGAAATGGCTGTTTGCAGCCACTGAGTTTTGGGATAATCTGCTACTACATGGTAGTAGACAACTGGAACTTGTTCTTTACCCCTACTTTCTCCTTTCTTTCTTTCTATACACTACCACTGAAATCCAAAGGCAGCCATGCTAATCTAACGAAGTCCTTGAATTCTTAAGGACTTTGGCTCTGAAAACAGTGCAGGCAGAATGCAGGGAGAAGAAACTAGACTCTAATCATGAGGCTTGTTGTAGAGTTTTGGGTCTCTAGTTGCAGTGCTTCTAGAGGAAGGTTTGACCAGAAGGCAAACAGCTACCAAAAGCTACAGATTCTCCCCCAGGGAAGGCCATACCTGCCGCATGAGCTCCTCTTGGCGCATTCTGATTCTCTCTCTCTCCATCTGGATCCTCTGGAGCCGAAGTTTCTGCTGCTGCTGCTGCTGAGTGGTGAGCGCATTGGGCAGACTCATGAGCCCCGATGTTGGGTTCTGAGCAGGGTGGTTCTGGGGGCTCAGGGTGCTGGGTGCCATCTGCTGCTGGTGTTGGTGATTGAGCACTGCAGGAGGCAAGAACACAAAGGCAATGAATGACTGGGGCCTACTATACCTTATCAAAAAGACACCATCAGAATGCTTCATGCTTTGGAGCATAGATTCCTGAGATTCCTTCCAAAGTACTTTCCTGTTAATCATTACTGTTCAAATAATCGTTACTGGGCTGGGGATTTAGCTCAGTGGTGCTACCAACTGCCTCACAAGTACAAGGTCCTGAGTTTGATCCCCGGTATGGGGCGGGGGGGGGGGGTCTTTCCATCAAATAATCATTACCTTAATTCAAATTATGGAGGCACAGATACCAGACCCCCTCCTTACTCATCTAGTCTTGGCTTTTGTTCTCTGATAGAAATCTTGTTACACCTTTTTTGTTGACACTGTGCTGGGGATCAAACACAGGGCCTTATACAAGCTACGTAGGTGCTCTACCACTGAGCTACAGTTCTGGCTCTCTAGAGTACATTTTAAGACTTACAAAGAACACAGTGCAAAAAATAACCAAATTCCACAAAGGTTATCACAACTTATGAGAGCGTTTCACCAGGACATTTCAAGGAAGGATAGCTGGGTGTGGTGCATGCCTGCAATACCAGTACTTGAGAGGCTGAGGCAGGAGGATCGCCATGAGTTTGAGGCCAGCCTAGGCTACATAGTGAGTTCAAAGCCAGCCTGAACTACATAGAGAGACCCTGTCTCAAAAAACCAAAACCAACCAACCAACCAAACAAACAAACAAAAAACTCCAAAGAGAGTTCTTCCCAAACTGTGCCCCTACTGGTCTTCAAAGCATCAGCCCTTACAAGAGGAAGTTACAGTGGAGCTGCTGGTGTCTTCCACATAATTTAGATTTGACCAGTTAGACTAAACATCTCAGGTCCCCAGAAAACCACGGGAAGGCTAAGCATCTACATTTGTGATGAACAAAACACTTCTTGTAGGGAACATTGTAGGGAGAAAACAACATTTCCGTTAAGGAAAGAAGAGGAAAGAGGAGGAGAATATCCCAAAGAGTATCTAAATGCAGTTATCTGAAGCCAACTGGACTTAGAGCAGACTGCCTCAAACTGCCTCAGACAAGCAGGCAGTTGTCAGATCTGAGAAGACCTCGTCAGTTCCAGGCCTTTTCCAGTCCTCACAGGGAGGAATAACCCAAACAGAAGACGTCCTCACTGAAGCAAGAATGCAGCAAAAGTAAAGCTGGAACATCCTCCCCAAAATGCTTCCAACAAAGTCGGAATTTAAATTTAGATCCCATTTATCTTTTGCATCTCCTTTTTTCAAAACTGATTTTCTCTTCCATGTTTGGAAATGGATAAAACCATACTCTTGATTGGTAATGTTTGATATAAAAGAAAACAAGAAAAGCAAACTCCACAGCACTGAGATACAAAGACACCTGTGATCCAATAACTGTCCCTGATGAGGCAAGTAGTCAAAGTGAGAACGGGGTGGGGTGGGAGTTACGATGGACACAACCCTCTGGTCTGAGGGGCCTAAATAATGCACACGTATGTGTCCTTGGATCCATTCTGGCAAACACACTTGGTCACTTCCACAAAGCACTAAGAGTGAAACATGTTCAAGGCCAGGAAGAATTCTGGATTCAGTTCTAAGCCAGTGCATCACTGGCTATATAAAGAGCAAATGATAAAAAAATAGACTTTGCTTCTGAACTTCTGCCTTTTGCAGCACCAGGCAACAGAGAGAGACACAGCTTGTAGAGAAAGTTCTTTGGCAGCTTCCCCCAGCCAGGAGCTACAGACACAGAGGGAGGCCAGGGAGTCAGGGCTGCTCGGCGCGCCTCCTGGAATGTTTGGCAAACATCTTGGTCTCAGAGAGGTTCAGCAGCTTGCTCTTCTGTGTCTTGGGCTCGCTTCCCTCGTTTTTAAAATAGGTTTGGTTACACACACACACACACACACACCCCAGACGAGTAAAACAAAACCATAAGGTTAGGCTTAACTACAAAACCATCACGGGCCTGCATAGGGCTGGCTCTGAGAAGATCACGGAAAAGACAACCAGTGCTCCAAAGGCCAGAAGTCACACCTAAACCCTCAAAAGACATAGACATTACTTTAATCCCATCAACACCTCTCCAATTTCCACTTGAGTCTAGGAGAGCAAAGAGGAACACCTAGTAGCTGTAGCTATGTGTTACTCGTCAGTCTCAGCTTCTCTCCTTCTTACAACAAACTTCTTCACTGAGGTGTCTCTACTCCTGGCATTCTGAAGTGAGCTTGTGGTTTTGTCAACTTATCAGAGGCACAATTCCATTTAACTGACCGGGTAAGGCCTTCCCTGATCCCTCTGAGACTTCCTACTTGGGTACTTACTTCCCTTCTGCTCTATCAGTAATGGAGAAGTTCACGCATGGCTCACAGTGGTTCAGCAGTTCAGTAAAAGTATATCCACAACATCCAAATTACTATAAACCAATGACTGAACAAATAAACAAATGGGAGGAGAAGAGACAAATCCCTGGTGCAGAAGAATTCCAACTAATTTACAAAGATACACAAACCTGAAGGGGACAAGGGGCATAATGGCAAATAGGGACTTCACTCCAAAGGGTTCAGGACTGAATGGGAAAGGGGAAGAGGGCAACTTTATTGTGGAGAAATCTGAAAAGTGCTGCCCTGGCCCAGTGTCAAAGGCTATCACTAACAGTGACAAGATGCGATGATAGTATATACCCTTGCCTTGATGGGATGAGAATGGTAGTGGTTTTTTTCTTTTTTTAACTTTCTAATTTTCCTCCACATAACGCAGTCTTGTCTCCTCACAAGAGAAAAGATCAGACAAATTCCAATAAAAGGGAATCTTACAAGATACCTACACAGTATGCCTTAGACAAGAAGAGCCTAAGGCGACATGCCTGGTAAATGTAATGTAGTATTCAATATGGGACCTAGAGACAGAAAAGACATTAGGTAAAAACTAAAGAAATCTGCTGAATAAAGTATGTACTCTGCTTAAAAAATGTCAATATTGGTTCATTACTTAACAACAGATGAAGTATACTAATGTAAGATTTAACAATAGAGTATGCAGGAACTCTACTCAATTCTTCTGTAAAACTAAAAACTCCTAAAAACTAAAGTACACACATGTGGCATATGCACACACATGTACACACATTCTCTGTGCCCATGGGTACCAGAAGCTGTGCTGCACACTATCTTCAACAGTCGCTAATAAGTTTTCACAGAGGATATAAAAATAGATACAATATTCAAAACAAAATATGGTTTATAATGTATTTTATGGAAGTAAATAGATATTAAGCTAAAAGACAAAAGAAAAAGCATTGTTTCCAGATGTGTTCCACTGTCAAACAAGATTGTGAAACTTTCAGCTAAATAGTTAACAAGAATTTATTTTACTGCAGGATTTCTCAGAGCTCTTAATACAGCATACTGTGCAAAGAGTACTTTCTGAGAGGGAGGTAAAAGTGCAAAGCTTCTCAAACTTGCAAGACAAGCATTCTATAGAGTAGGAATACTAAGAAATGCTGGTCTACTACAACTTAGCAGATATCTTGGCAGAGTATTGAATTAAGTGTAAATTAACGTTAAGGCCCACTGTGTGTTTTTTTGCAGTACTGGGAATTGAACTCAGGGTCTTCACACTGAGCTACATCTCCAGCACCTGTTTTTTTTAAAGACTGAGTCTCACTAAGTTGCCCAGCTATTGTTTGCTCCTCCTGCCTTTGCCTCCCAGAGTGCTAGGATTACAGGCATATGCCACCACCATCCCCAGCTAGTGCTTGTTTGGGTTCCCCCCCCCCCCAATTAACTAAATAGCTACTTAGAACTCAGAATCATAGGAAGGAACACAGGAGCAAGTAGACATTGAACAGTTTCATATGCCTAGAGTTAGGGGCTAAGGCGGAAGATACAAAGCAACAGAACAACAAAGCAAAACAAAATACAAAGCCAGCTAAGGCAGTGTGCCTGTAGCCCTAGCTACTTAGAAAGGCTGAGGCAGGGCCCGGGGATTAAGCTCTGTGGTTCCACCGCCTGCCTCGCAAGCACAAGGACCCGAGTTTGATCCCCCATACCAAAAAAGAAAGAGAGAAAGAAAGGAAGTACTGTATAAAAGTCTGCAAACATATATGGTGAAATTTAGCTGGGCATAGGATCGCATGCCTATAATCTCAGGACTCAGGAGCCTGAGGTAGGAGGGTCATGTATTCGAGGCCAGCCTGGGCTCCACAGTGTTGAGGCAGGTCTGTACTATGTCGCAAGACTTTGTCTTTAAAAAAAAAAAATCTGCTGAAATTCTCCATAAGCAAATTTGATTAACAGAAAATTTCACAGATGGTTTAATTTCCATATTAGTTTTCATAGGCGATGAGCAAAACCCTTAAGTTCTATACATTTAAAATAATCTAAATATAGGGTTCAAAAAACAAAATCTTGCTTCTGTGATAAAACAACACATAAGCCCTTCTAACATCTTCCTTCAACAGTGAAATGAGGAAGAGGCTGGTTCATTTTGAAAATCTGAGTGGAGTTTCCTCCAAACAGATAAATAGGCAACAAACAAAGACACACACTGGATAATACATTTGATTTGCAATCCAGGAAACATCCTCCTTGGAAGAGGTGTTTAGTTTGAATGTTGAGGCTAAGAAGTTTGATACAACACAGAAGAAACACCTTTTAGGAACCAAAACACACCACAGGAGGGGAGCCAGAGCTCTCTGGAATGGTGGACAGTTGAAATTAAAAGCTTTTGTCACCTCATTCTCTGCCTCCTTCTAAAAATTCTGAAACTGAAGTCCCTCTTGATCATCCCAGTTTGTCTGGGACTGATGGCCTTCCCAGGACACAGGGTTTGCAGTGCTAACTCCATGAATGTCCCTAGCAAGTGGAATGGTTTGTCACCTATACCCGTGACTGACCCCAGCCCTAAGGCTACGTGATAGCAGCAGAATCCAAATTTCTCCTTATACCTAATGTATTCTCTTAAAAAGAGAAGGAGGTGAGGGTATAAA